CCAAGAAACTACAGTTAAGAGACTACAGTGGCTTCAAGAAATTACAGTTGAGGAACTACAGTAGCTCCAAGAAACTACAGTTGAGGAACTACAGTAGCTCCAAGAAACTACAGTTTAGGAACTACAGTAGCTCCAAGTAAGATTCGTAGAAACACCGAAATATTATTTGATTTCGATCTTTGATAAATATGACGTGCTCAAATCGCACAAAATGGTTATCTTTCTTTAGTGAACGACCGAATCCTAGGATTGATCGTGACATACATATACATATATGAACACATACTAACTGACAGGTTTTTACGTTTAATTTTCGAACCTTAATGAAATAAGTATGTCAAGTTTCTCTTTTTAAATTCTGTTTTAGGATAATTCTTTTGTGTACTTTTTTATCTCTGTGTTGTTTTATGCTTGCTTATCTATTTTCTTGATTACACTTGATTATACTGACGAATGCGGGAAACTAAGTCTTAAAACAAACTGAAAATATACGTATTCAAATTTTGGCATGTGTGCGAGAAAATTGATGAACGACGTCTTAGTTCTACGCAGCTAAAATTCACTTTCGACTTTTAAAATTGTGTTTTTTGTAATTTTATAAGTCATTCGAGTAAACAGTTTAAAACTTGAATAATGTAAAGAACTCATAAAACAATTTTTAGATGATAATTTTTCAAACAGTTCCGTTTCTATTATTTAAGTGTCTCGGCAATATTCTGGGAAGCTAATGCAAGGTAATTACGAGAAATGAAAAGCAATACTATAAATACTGAGCTGTCACCCACACAAATTTGAACAATTACCTCTCCTTGTTTTTATTATACATTACATTAATTCAGCACAGACGTCATTAGAGAGGTTGGAAACGAACGAAAACAAATTAGCATTGATATTCGTGACATTTCTCATGCAAGAGTTTTTAGTAAACTTCGTTCTAATATAATAAATTGAATAGTCAAATCAGGCGGAGGAAGAAAAAGCTACTCATATTGGCTTCGTGAATATGACAGCTTGCCGTTTGTCATTTTGTTGTTCCAATTTCAGTAGTGTAAGGATTATAATGATGTTAAAATGCTCTTTAGATCGAAATGTTTACACATTTTCAGCGAGTTACAGTGAAGAAACCTTCCTTTGAAGTAAGTGTCTAAAAACATTCAAACCCATACCACTATGAACTTCAGTCTAATTATTATTCATCACCTTGTGTTGTTATTACGGTAGGAAGAGAAAATGAGCTGAAGAATATATTTTTCAATACATTCAGAAACTGGCAAAGGCAGTGTTAAGCGAATATTGTTTTAAGAAAGTGTTCAAAAAGTATTGTTCTAAGGAATGTTCAGCAGGTATTGTTCTAAAGAAGTGTTCAGCAGGTATTGTTCTTATGAAGGTTCAGCAAGTATTGTTCTAAGGAAGTATTTAGTAGGTATTGTTCTAAGGAAGGTTCAGCAAGTATTGTTCTAAGGAAGATTCAGCAAGTATTGTTCTAAGGAAGTGTTTAGTAGGTATTGTTCTAAGGAAGTGTTCGGCAGGTATTGCTCTACGGAAGTGTTTAGCAGGTATTGTTTTAAAGAAGTGTTCAGCAGGTACTGTTCTAAGGAAGGTTCAGCATGTATTATTCTAAGAAAGTGTTTAGCAAGTACTGTTTTATGGAAGTGTTCAGTGGGTATTGTTCTAAGAAAGTGTTCAGCAGGTATTGTTCTAAAGAAGTGTTCAGCAGCTAATGTTCTAAGGAAAGTTCAGCATGCATTGTTCTAAGAAAAGTTCAGCAGGTAATGTCCTAAGGAAGTGTTCAGCAAGTATTGTTCTAAGGAAGTGTTCAGCAGGTATTGTTGTAACGAACGTTCAGGAAGTATTGTTCTAAGGAATGTTCAGCAGGTATTGTTCTAAAGAAGTGTTCAGCAGCTAATGTTCTAAGGAAAGTTCAGCATGCATTGTTCTAAGAAAAGTTCAGCAGGTAATGTCCTAAGGAAGTGTTCAGCAAGTATTGTTCTAAGGAAGTGTTCAGCAGGTATTGTTGTAACGAACGTTCAGGAAGTATTGTTCTAAGGAATGTTCAGCAGGTATTGTTCTAAAGAAGTGTTCAGCAGTTATTGTTCTCAGGAAGTGTTCAGCAGCTAATGTTCTAAGGAAAGTTCAGCAAGTATTGTTCTAAGGAAGTGTTCAGCAAGTATTGTTCTAAGGAAGTGTTCAGCAGGTATTGTTGTAACGAACGTTCAGGAAGTATTGTTCTAAGGAATGTTCAGCAGGTATTGTTCTAGGGAAGTGTTCAGCAGATAATGTTCTCAGGAAGTGTACAGCTCGTACTGTTTTATTTCGCACAGATGCACCTAATGATCTTTAATATTCGGGCTATTTTTTTTATTTATTAAGCTGCTGCGACATTAATTTTAAAATAATTGTTTGTCACATACTTCTTGTTTCAGATCCACCGGGAAGTCCAATTATTACAGGATATAGAGAAGGGGATGTCTTGAAGAAAGGAGAACGTTTGTCATTATCGTGTATCTCCAAGGGAGGAAATCCACCAGCACAGTTGATATGGTATAAGTCAGGCCATCAGCTGGATGCTAGTTATACCACAAGCTCAGGCCAAACTACCAGTATCTTGAGGTTTACAGTCACTGCTGCCGACAACAAAGCTGTATACAGTTGTGAGGCATCTAGTCGTCTCATGCACCACTCTATGTCAACCTTTGTAACTCTTTCCGTCCGTTGTAAGTTCGACTTTTGTTACTAAACAGCATAAAGAAATGAGAAATTTTTCAATGACGCTATTTATTCATTCTAAAAAAAAACAACTTTAATTGACATCTCACAGTTCTCAGTTAAAGTTATCAATAAGTTAGCAGCTGATAATATCTAGATATAATTGACATCTCACAGTTCTCAGTTAAAGTTATCAATAAGTTAGCAGCTGATAATATCTAGATATAATTGACATCTAACAGTTCTCAGTTACAGTTATCAATAAGTTAGCAGCTGATAATATCTAGATATAATTGACATCTCACAGTTCTCAGTTACAGTTATCAATAAGTTAGCAGCTGATAATATCTAGATATAATTGACATCTCACAGTTCTCAGTTACAGTTATCAACACGTTAGCAGCTGATAATATCTAGATATAATTGACATCCCACAGTTCTCAGTTACAGTTATCAATAAGTTAGCAGCTGATAATATCTAGATATAATTGACATCTCACAGTTCTTAGCTACAGTTATCAATAAGTTAGCAGTTGATAATATCTAGATATATGCAACAATGACATGGAACATAAAACAAACAAAGAAGGTTAATGTTAAGAAAGATTTCTTCTAGACCTTGTGTTCTACCAATATACCGAACATGCTCCTCCATTATCCCCAATTATAACTATAGCCCTTTCATTATATACACGATGTTAGGGACCTTTAGTAACTTGTAAGATATCATTGGCCCTTTCACTATATACATGATATTAGGAATATGTAGTGAAAGAGCTAATAATATCTTACAAGTTACAAAAAGTCCTAACATCATGTATGTAGTGAAAGGACTAACAATATCTTACAAGTTACAAAAAGTCGTAACATATTGTATGTAGAGAAAGGGTTAATAATAGCTGACAAGTTACGAAAAGTCCTAATATCATGTATATAGTGAAAGGGCCAATGATATCTTACAAGTTACTAAAGGATGATGTTAGGACTTTTTGTAACTTGTAAGATATTATTAGCTCTTTCACTACATATATGATGTTAGGACCTTTTGTAACTTGTCAGATATTATCATCCCACCTGGCTGCTTACAACATATAATTGATATAAAATATCATTATCACATTTTCTGCATACAACTTGTACTAGTCCCATTGCTACACAAAATATTATAGTAGTTTAAAGGCTAAAGTAACTCATAGAACATACAGAAACTACTATACAGTCGCTTTGTTTTCGTCCTGATGTAAGTCCATTGATCCTCAACTGCTCGTCATCTACTGTTTTATTTGTGGTATTTTGGGGGGAGGTACTCAATAGAACAAAACAGAATTAGATATAGCACAAATACAATTCGTAGTTTGAGTGAATCTAATAAGCTCCTTGTTTTCTTTAAGTTCGGGTTTTACCAAAATCTCAGCCAGTATTCCTAAGCACCATGCAAGCATTACGATTTAGCTAAGGTAAATACAACCTTCTAATAAATACAACCTTCAAGAACCGTGTTGAATTTGTACAGGTCCTCAATCTGGAAAATAATATTGTCAAAAGAATTTCAAAATGCTACAGTGTTTAATATAATGAGCAATAATAATGTTGCATCACTGTGAAAATCAGGATGACAATGATATATTAGCTCCGTTTTCAAGAAACAGTACAAAATAAACACCAATCAATTGTTTAGTTTCTGAACTACACACCATACATTCGTACTTCTTAAGCTAATATTCTACTCGATTTGAAAACATTAACGTCCTCGGAATGAATTCGCAGATTTGGTGAGGAATAAGAATTTTGCATGTGAATATAAAAATACATGTAACATATTTCATTCTGGGTATAAATAAAATACACTTGTATACAAATGTGTTATGTTTATATATTTAAGTGTTTACTATAGTGTTATATAAAAAAGTCACTCAAGTCCGATTAGTCTTTTGCACGCACTTTTTGTTGCGACAGTAACAAATATGACTTACTCGACAGTGTACTGGTTGTCTCTCAGAGCGATTTGTTATTGGAAAGATAAAGTACTCAGCTAATCAGCCAAAGTGGTGAGTAAGACACAGTTTCAGGATTGAAGATACTAGCTTTTACGTTATAAGTTTCCATACAAAGCACGCCATCTTTTACCAGGAACTAGAGCTTTTGTGTCCGTTCATCCGTCCATCAATTTATATGGATATTAAAATTAGAAACTAGTTTTAGCTCTAAATTGTGACTCTATACTTTTAGCATAAACTGTGACTCTATAGCTTTAGCCTAAACTGTGACTCTATAGTTTTAGCATAAACTGTGACTCTATAGTTTTAGCCTAAACTGTGACTCTATAGTTTTAGGTAAACCACAAGTCAACATTTGATCATTTCAGTAAAATATTTTTATGATAGAAATGGGGCATTTCTATATTTTTGATAATTGTTTCCTCTTAATTAAATGTGTGGATTAATAACAGATAACGTGTTGCTATTTTTTATCAACGAGAAAAATTTGCAGTATTGCGCTTGGCAATAACAGAAAACAGAGGTCTACACAGTTATACAAATCTGTAGCTTTAAATATTTATGAGCTAATTACGACTCTTTTGGTTCGCTCATCCTAAATCGATAGTAATCGGAACTTAACTGGGAGGGATGACACATTTTTATGCTTCTCTCTTCACGTTTATATTTAATACTGGAATTTAATTTTATGAAACATCCGTAGAAAAATAACATGAGAAATTATATCCAACAAAATTAATAAAGATATTCAAATTCGATGACGAGGAACCCACTTTGAGACTAGTAATGGCTGGAGACGGCTTGAATGGGTAATGAAGAAAAACTTTAATATAAGTTTAACATAACAGCAAATGTACAACGTTTCGACAAGGTTTTGTCATCATCAGGTACCATCATCGAAACGTTGTACATTTGCGGTTATGTTAAACTTATATTAAAGTTTTCTTCATTACCCATTCAAGCCGTCTCCAGCCATTACTAGTCTCAAAGTGGGTTCCTCGTCATCGAATTTGAATATCTTTATTAATTTTGTTGGATATAATTTCTCATGTTATTTTTCTACGGATGTTTCAT